ACTGTGGTGAAGGAAAGTGCAGTGTTTATTGTAAGGTGTCATACAAGGAGTTGGGGACAGCTAGTGCTCAGAAAGCCTGAACTCCCGGATGGGTCTCAGCAAAGCCTATTTAAAGGCAAGGTGGGAAGGGGAGTCCCAGGGTCTGTGATCAGCTAGTGCACAATTCTCCGATTGTTTGATGGTAAGGGTGTCACAGGGGTTAAAATGATCAATCCTTAGTCTCCAGTAGGCCTGGGGACTATGTGCTCATGGTCATTAAGTAGTTAATTTCTTCCATTTGGGGGTTATTTTAGCATCTGTAAAACAACTCAGGAGATGTGCATCAGAGACTATTATCTGGGTACTTCAGAACGGAGCTAAAGCAGAGGATATGGGAGAAGGGTCTGTCCCAGGAAGGCCCCATAGAGTCCTGCTCAGTTACAGGAGGACATCTAGGAATTCCCAGGGTCTTGACTCAGTCTTCTCCCTTCATTGTTCATTTGCATCTCATGGCTGCTGCAGACACCTGACCCTTTCAAATGATAATAGGTCATGAGAATTTAGCAAATCCCCAAATTTGTGATTGTCACTCGAGTACCAGAAATCCACTTTTTCTAGGGACATCATTTTGTTTTGTTTTTCACAAAGAAATAAAGGTTTTATTTGGTAGGTAAAGCACTCCGCATTATTTCCAGGTGCATGAAAAGCATCTGCAGAGCTTTTCTGGACCCCAGGACTGGAGAGTCCACATCAGTGGGTCTCCGGTGGGTTTGGGAGTATTTGCAAGGCATGACTTTCTTTGAGTCTCACTTTCTTCATCTGGGACGTGGGGGTGCCAATGGAAGCAGCCCTTCAGGCTTGTGAGCCTTCAGTGAGATGGTGGGTGTAAAGTACAAGTACAGGACCTGCCAGGCAATTGCGTGCTTCATAAAGTTCAGGTATTGGAGAGAGTCCCTCCTTAATAACCTTGCAGCACCTGTTTTTGCAATGCCTACTTCAGCAAGACTCTTCCAGGCCATGATTATGCTTTGCTTCATACTTGGAACTGAAGTGCTAGAGTAACCAGCAGGTTATATTGGGTTACACAACTTCTGCTAATTAAATGTCTTTACTGTGGTGAGAATTTTTTGCCTTATATCCCCCACTGGGATACATCCCAAGGGGCCTATGGGACTATATACAGCTGGAAATAGTCCATTAAAAACTTCAGGGGAGAGGGATAAATTAGGAGGTTGGGATTAACAGTTACACACTACTATATAGAAAACAGATAAACAACAAGGACCTACTGTATAGCACAGGGAACTATATTCAGTATCTTGTAATAACATAATGGAAAAAAATCTGAAAAAGAATAGCTACGTGTGTATATGTATAACTGAATCACTGTGCTGTACACCTAAACTAACACAGCATTGTAAATCAACTCTACTTCAAGAAAGACATAAATAAATAGAATTAAAAAAAATTTAACTTGTGAATGTTACCTTATATGGCAATAGTGACTTTGTAGACATGACTAAAGTAAGGTTTTTGTTCGTTTGTTTGTTTTTTTTGCGGTACGCGGGCCTCTCACTGCCGTGGCCTCTCCCGTTGTGTAGCGCAGGCTCCGGACGCGTAGGCTCAGCGGCCATGGCTCACGGGCCCAGCCGCTCCGCGGCGTGTGGGATCCTCCCGGACCGGGGCACGATTCCGTGTCCCCTGCATCAGTAGGCAGACTCTCAACCACTGCGCCACCAGGGAAGCCCCTAAAGTAAGGATTTTGAGATGAGGAGATTATCCTGGACTTCCTGGGTAGGTCCTAAATGTAATCACAAATGTCTATATAGGAGGGAGGCAGAGAGAGACTTGTCACAGATTGGGAGAAGGCAAAGTGAAGACAGAGCAGAGTTTTGAAGGTGTTATGCTGCTGGCCTTAAAGATAGAAGAAGGGGTCAAGAGCCGAGGAATGCAGCTCTAGCAGCTAGAACAAGCAAGGAAGGTCTTATCCCCTAGAGCTCTGGAAGGAGTTGCCCTGCCCATACTTTAGAATGTATACCTTGATTTCAATCTTCTGAGCTCCAGAACTGCAAGAGAATAAATTTATGTTGTTTAAAAAAAAAATTTAACTTGGGGACGCAAGACTACAAATGTACTGGATCAGTGTGTGAGAAATCCATGTCTCCTTCACTGTGGTTGGAAGTGTAAATTGTATAGTCTTTTTTTTCCTTTCAGTTTTGTTGAGAGATAATTGGCATACAGCACTGTGTATGTTTAAGGTGTGAAACATGATTTGACTTATATACATCGTGAAATGATTATCACCGTGAGTTGAGTGAACATGCATCATCTCATAGAGATAACAGCAGTAAGAAATTTTAAAAAATGTTTTTTCCTTGTGATGTGAACTCTTAAGATTTATTCTTCTAGCAGCTTTCATTTATAACACGTAGCAGTACTGATTATCTTTACCATGTTGTATATTATATCCCTAATACTTACGTATCTTGTAACTGGAAGATTGTACCTTCTGATTGCCTTCATCTAATTCCCCCTTCCCCCTCCTCTGCCTCTGGGAGCCACAAATCTGATCTCTTTTTTCTGTGAATTTGTTTGTTTTTGAAGTATAATTGACCTGCAACACTATGTTAACTTCTGGTACACAAGACAGTGGTTCAACATTTCTATACATTTCAAAACGATCCCCAGGATAAGTCTAGTTGTCATCTGTCAGCATACAAAGATATGACACAGTTATTGACTATATTCCCCACACTGCACATTTCGTATCTGCAAAGAAACCTAGGTGCCCATCAATAGAGGAATAAAGAAAGTGTGATATGTATAGATGAATATTATATATATGCTATATATATATGATTTATATATATGAATATTATTGAGCCATAAATAGTGTAGTCTTTCTGCAGGACAATTTGGCAATATCTTCCAACTTTACCATAGATGTCTCCTTTGTATTTCCGTGTTAGGGCATCTATTCTGGGAGAAATACTGAGATAGATATAGATATAGATATAGATAAAAGGAAGCACTGCAAAGTGTATGTTACATATCCACAGCAAATTGTTTGATAACCAAAAAACCCACAAACCTGCTAAATGTCCAACAATGGAAGTTTGGTTAAATAAATTATAAGCCATTCATGTAATGGCATTTTAGATAGTAGTTATTTTTTAAAAGGAAAAGAAGATGCTAACCTGGAAAGCTGTCCAAGACATCATGTTAAATGGATAAAGCAAATTAATACATATAATTTCATTTCTGCAAACAAAGTATATATTTGTACATACACACATGTGTGTATGTAAAAGCATAGGAAAAGGGTTTAGAAAAATACGTGGCAGACTGGTAATATTGATTACCTCCTGCAAGGTTCCTCTGGATATATCTGTATTGTTTGAGTTATTTAGCACATTCATGTGTTTGTTGTGTGAAAATGAACGTTGACAGGTTATATTAACTAAGTGATAATCGTCCCGTCTCATCACCTTTTGAGAGGGATTCAGGAGTCCTCTCCTTGCCAACCGTGCTGCGCCAAAGGGTTCTCCTGCAAGCTCTTTGGGGCTGTCCAGCCCCGGCCCCATGAACAAAGCCACGATACGTAGCAGCCTGGGATCCAGCCAGCCACCTTGGGTTTGGATCCAGGCTGACCAACTGCTGTTCTCTGTGCTGCCTGCAGCCATTAATCTCCACCCTGGACTGAGCTCCCTCTCTGGGTATCCTGGTCCCTCCTTCAGGTTGAGGAGTCCTTCCTGGGTGCTTACTACCCTTTGCATCTGCAGAGATTCTGAGATCCTGGGTGTGAGCTCCCTGCCTGAGATGGCCAGTCTGAGCCCTCCTCTTGCGGCTTGCTGAGTCTTTCTCCGTTCTCAGGGTAGCTTGTCCAGGCCTCCCCACAGGGAGTGCTAAGGCGTTTGTCCAGGCTCTGACCACCAAGGACAACGCAGACTTTCTCTTCCTTCCCATGGTCATTGGGGTTTTACCTGCCTACGCCTTTCTCAAAGATTTTGAGAATCTTTGGATAGGAAAGAGGGTGGGCTCCTTCCACAGGCCCCTGTGGAATGTTTAGTTGTCCTTCTGCTGTAGTTCTGCTCATGTAGCTCACCCACACAGCCTTCTGTCCAGGAACCTCTTGGTATGGAGCAGAATAGGCTCAGAGAACACCAGTCACCAAGAGGGACCATGTCTCTCAACCCCCAAGGGCCCTGCCCAGCTTGTGATTTTTATTTTATTTATTTATTTTTTTAAATTTATTTATTTATTTATTCATTTATTTTTTGCTGCGTTGGGTCTTTGTTGCTGTGCGCGGGCTTTCTCTAGTTGCGGCGACCAGGGGCTACTCTTTGTTGCGCTGCGTGGGCTTCTCATGGCGGTGGCTTCTCTTGTTGTGGAGCACGGGATGTAGGCTCACGGGCTTCCGTAGTTGTGGCTCACAGGCTTTAAAGCGCAGGCTCAGTAGCTGTGGCGCACGGGCTTAGTTGCTCTGTGGCATGTGGGATCTTCCCGGACCAGGGTTCGAACCCATGTCCCCTGCCTTGGCCGGCAGATTCTTAACCACTGCGCCACCAGGGAAGTCCCAGCTTGTGATCTTTATACATCACTACCGTTGTGGTTCCACCCTCAGCCCTGGGAACCACTCAAAGCACACATTCACCATCCTTGTGTAACCGGTCCTGCAGGACACCCCAGATGGGCCCTGACAAACAGCACCTGGCTTCGTAATGTAAGCTCGCACTCTGAAATTCTAATTTACACAAAGAAAATTCTTTTCTTTGACCACAGTTCCCAAGGGCACTAGGGAAACCAGGGGCAAGCTGTGATGAAGCAATGAATGAAGGGCTACAAAATGTTCCCGAGCTCTCCCATTAGGTATCTGCGTCTCCAAGAAACCATTCCCTGATCTGAGAAAGCAGAAATCAAGGAAACTAGAACATCTGAGGGCACTCCCTTGAGGGCTTATATTTTGATACTCTTCCAGGTCTTCTTCCTCCCGCCCCACCCTCCTTTCTGGGGACACTGAGAGTATAAAATGGGGCTGGGCTCTGCCCGTGCATCACATAAAGTTCAACATGAAGACAGGCACCATCTTTGTTCTGGTGGCTTTCATCGTCAGGGGGCTGGAGGTGGCCTATACTGCGAGACCTACTTTCGGAGGTGAGGTTGCTGAGGGGATCCTCCCTGAGAGCAGAGAAGGCACAGAGCCCAGTGTTAGACCTGGGGATGGTTTGGCACGGAAGCTGCCGTGTCCCCACTGCAGAGTGGAGATTCAGCCTTGATCAGATGCATTTCCTTTGATCTAAATGAGCCGTCACCCTGCGTTTCCCATTCCCCTTATCAGATTGGGTTGGATCTGATCTGTGTCTCTAAAAGAGATACGTGTGGTTTATCCTACCATTTTGGTTGTTATTTTATTTACTGTTGCAGATATCTTTGTTAGATACATAGTCTTTTGTTATATAATCTATTTTATTTGTGTAATCTCTCTCTCTCCTTTCCCCTCTCTCTTACTATATGTTTTGCATTTAGAAAGGGTTTCGTTTTTTGTTCTATTAGTTACCTTAAACTAAGACCTTAGAGTACCACCCTTGGTCCTCCTTTTTTTTTATTATTACCTATAGGTTTCCTGCTATGAGTGATAGTCATAATGAAATTAGCTAATTTCCTTCTTTCCTTCCTCCACACTCCCCTACCCCCAGCAGCTGATTTTAAGCAATATCCTTTCATTCCCACTTAATCATGTTAAGGTACTTATCAAGCTTACTCTGCTTTTCCTATGTTCTTTCCTTCCGCCTCCCTGATTTTTAATAGGTATATTGTCAAAACATATAGCTACTTCATAGACTCTTTCCATATACCATTATTAAGTCTGAATTCTACTGTAAGTATATATCTAATGGCCTTACTAGTCCCCGTTTTGATGCCTCTCCAGTACTTTGGTTGGCTGGCGATCAGTCTCTAGTACATTCCTCAGGAAGTTCCCATGGGAAAAATGACCCCAGTCTTCTCCATCAGTCACCTCATTGCTTCCTGCGGATTTCTGCACAGATGCAAATGTCTCACTGGTGTGGTAGGTGACAGTGGTTTGTCTCCTTCCATCCACTCATATTGTGGAGTTTGAGGGGATACCTTGTTCCACAGTTTTGTTGTCTATGTGTTTTGAATTTTGCTATTTTGATTGCTCTGTGTGTTTTTAAGGGGAAATTATAGAAGATTCAAAAATTATGCCAACCTACACAATTAAAACCACCTTCCCAAAATCTGACGTTATTTTTTTGTAACAACTTCTAACTTTCTCCTTTGTGAAGTGTCTGTTCAATCCTCTTGCCCATTTTTCTATTAGGTTATCAATTGTTACTATTGATTTGTAAGGGATTCTGGATACAAGTTGTTTGTTGTATATATGTATTATAAACATTTTCTCCCAATGTAGCTTTTCTTTTCACTCTCTTAATGGTGTCATTCAATGAAGAAAAGTTCCTTATTTTAATGAGGTTCCATCTACCTATCTAGTTTAATGGTCAGCAATATTTCTGTAATATTTAAGAAACATTTGCCTATCCCGAGATCATGAAGCTATCTATTATAGTATCTTCTAGAAGCTTTATTGCTTTACCTTTCACTTCGGTCTATAACCCATTTGGAACAGAGTTTGTAGTGTGGTGTAAGGTAGGGGACAAGTTCCTTTTTTTCACATGGACAGTCCAGTTAATTCAACCACACTGAAATCCTGTAACTTTGTTTAAAATTGTCTTGATCCTTATTTTGATTATTGTTGGTTTGGGAAACTTACATATAAACTTTTAGAATCAGCTTATCCATTTTTGTGAAAAATCCTTCTACGATTTCTACTGGGATTATATTAAATTTCAATTTTGGGAGAAACTTGTTTCTTTATAACACTGAATCTTTTCATCCATGAACATGACGTCTGTCTCCATTTATAAGACAGTTAAATTTTTTTCTTAGTAATATAGTGTAGTTTCCTGCACATAATTGGTTAGATTTATTTCTAGGGAACTGATGGTTTTTGAAAGATATTGTAAAGGCATTGAGAGTATTTATTTTCTAATCGTAAGACTTCAAAGCTTCTAACTGTGTCTTTCCTCTCGCCAGCGATCTGTATGAATGAGTGTTCAGGAGACTGGGACTGTGAAGGAGGAAAAGAATGCGTGGGGGTTGGCTGTGCACGTATCTGCGCCCCACAGACTAAAAAAGGTGAGCCCTGACTTTCTCCACCCCAGCCTATCCTGGGAGAATTAAGAGCTTGGTGTTACCTGAACTTGCACAATTGTGTGATCACCCAGAGAAACACACCCGAATGCCTGAGGGGTCCCTCTGTTCTTGCCCTTTGAGGGAAAGGTTGGTCTCAGAACATTTATTCCAACATTTTCAAGTACGAGAATCCTAAAAAAAAAAGAATCTCATTTAATTTTTCACAAGGAATACGTATTTATTACAGAAAAGTCAGGAACTACGGAACAAAATGATGGCAAGATGTGCCTGTAATCTTATTACTAGGAGGTAAACATGGTTACATGTATGTTCATATCCTTCCACAAATATATTCAGGGGGTATGGTGCCAAATAATCATGGCATCACACTCCACGAACAAACATCTTTAAACTTTTCTTTTTACTCTCAATAATATGTAGTGAATAGCTTGCTACAAGCATGGACATATTTCTACAACTCTATTTTTTTCAAAGACATCAAAGCATTTTTACTGTGAATGTACCACATTTTGTTTACTACTTCTTGACCAATGGGCTTTTGAACTTCTCTAATATTTTACTATCAAAGGGTTCCCTTGAAACTAAATCGTTCCGTTTATAACTTGATTATTTCCTTAGGAAACATTGCTAGAAATGATATTGCTGACTCAAAGGGCATGCATGTTTTTTTAAATCCAAAGATACTTGGCCAATTTGCGTTTGTGAGGATGTATTGTTTATGTCAAAAAGTTTCATAAACTTCAAAATGCTGGGTATTGTAAGGTCAGATCTTAACAAACGGCACCGCGAAACAGAGGAAAGCTTCAAGTGAGCTTTATTAGGGAGCGCTCCCGGGCGAGGTTCACTGGTCCGAGAGAAAGGAGCCAGAGAAGTCGCACCCGGGCGAGGGTTGGGCAAGATTTTATAGGGGAAGAAGGGAAAGGGATGTGGTGAATCTGGGAGGGCGCAGGGTATTCCTTATTTGGTGGTCTTTTCGGGTATCCTGGGGGACCGTTAGTCCCGCCCCTCGAAAGACGGGAAGGCTGGGCCGAGTGCAAAGTCCCCAGGTCAGTTCCTGGAACTGGGTGGTGTGGAATGTCTCCAGGGCAGTTTCTGGAACTGGGTGGTCCGGAGAATTTCGTTCTGATGCAACCTGTGAATCTGATTGTGTTCCCCTGCCTCGGGCCAGTTGGCCTTACAGGTATATTTTAATTTTAAATTACATGCAACTTAAAAACAACTTCAAAGATGTTTATGAAATGTTTTTAGGGAATGTTTCAAAGATCCTTTGCCATAACTTGGCATCCCACATGATGGGAAAAAAGTGAAAAACACATATTTGGCAAATTCTCTGTGCCAGATCTTTTTCAAAATACATTATTTTGTTTAATCTTGAGAACTTTAGGTATGAAAGATATAGGTATTCATCTCACGTCCATTTTACAGATGAGGAAACTAAAGAATGAACCAAATATATATTTTTCTTTTTCTCACCTTACCGTGATTCCTGTCCACCCTCTTCCTTTTCTTTTTCTATTTTTATTTTTATTATTATTATTTTGCGGTACATGGGCCCCTCACTGTTGTGGCCTCTCCCTTTGCGGAGCACAGGCTCCAGATGCGCAGGCTTAGCGGCCATGGCTCACGGGCCCAGCCGCTCCGCGGCATGTGGGATCTTCCCGGACCGGGGCACGAACCCATGTCCCCTGCATCAGCAGGCAGACTCTCAACCACTGTGCCACCAGGGAAGCCCTCTATTTTTATTTTAATTTTTAATTTTTATTTTTTTAACATCTTGATTGGAGTATAATTGCTTTACAATGGTGTGTTAGTTTCTGCTGTATAACAAAGTGAATCAGTTATACATATACATATATCTCCTCCCTCTTGCGTCTCCCTCCCACCCTCCCTATCCCACCCATCTAGGTGGTCACAAAGCACTGAGCTGATCTCCCTGTGCCATGTGGGTGCTTCCCACTAGCTATCTATTTTACGTTTGGTAGTGTATATATGTCCATGCCACTCTCTCACTTTGTCCCAGCTTACCCTTCCCCCTCCCTGTGTCCTCAAGTCCATTCTCTACGTCTGCGTCTTTTTTCCTGTCCTGCCCCTAGGTTCTTCAGAACCTTTTTTTTTTTTAGATTCCGTGTATATGTGTTAGCATACGGTATTTGTTTTTCTCTTTCTGACTTACTTCACTCTGTACGACAGACTCTAGGTCCATCCACCTCACTACAAATAACTCAATTTCATTTCTTTTTATGGCTGAGTAATATTCCATTGTATATATGTGCCACATCTTCTTTATCCATTCGTCTGTCGATGGACACTTAGGTTGCTTCCATGTCCTGGCTATTGTAAATAGTGCTGCAATGAACATTGTGGTACCTGACTCTTTCTGAATTATGGTTTTCTCAGGGTATACGCCTGGTAGTGGGATTGCTGTGTCATATGGTAGTTCTATTTTTAGTATTTTAAGGAAGCTCCATACTGTTCTCCATAGTGGCTGTATCAATTTACATTCTCACCAACAGTGCAAGAGGGTTCCATTTTCTCCACACCTTCTCCAGCATTTATTGTTTGTAGATTTTTTGATGATGGCCATTCTGACTGGTGTGAGGTAGTTTTTTTTTTTTTAACATCTTTATTAGAGTATAATTGCTTTACAATGGTGCGTCAGTTTCTGCCTTATAACAAAGTGAATCAGTTATACATATACATATGTCTCCATATCTCTTCCCTCTTGTATCACCCTCCCTCCCACCCCATGTGAGGTAGTTTTTTTTGTTTTTTGTTTTTAAGTGTTTGGCCACACCCCACGGCATGTGGGATCTTAGTTCCCCAGCCAGGGATTGAACCCATGCCTCCTGCATTGGAAGGCAGTGGACTGCGGGGGAGGTAGTTTTGATTGTAGTTTTGATTTGCATTTCTCTAATGATTAGTGATGCTGAACATCCTTTCATGCGTTTGTTGGCAGTCTGTATATCTTCTTTGGAGAAGTGTCTATTTAGGTCTTCTGCCCATTTTTGGATTGGGTTGTTTGTTTTTTGATACTGAGCTGCATGAACTGCTTGTAAATTTTGGAGATTAATTCTTTGTCAGTTGCTTCATTTGCAAATATTTTCTCCCATTCTGAGGGTTGTCTTTTCATCTTGTTTATGTTTTCCTTTGCACCCTCTTCCTTAAGTCACTTGGATCACACTGCAAACAGTGACACCAAAAAGTGCCTTAACAGTGCCCCCAACTTTCACTAAAGATCCCTGTCCTTCTCCAGCTCCAGGGAAGGCAGAGCCTGAGCGCCTGGCTCAGGAGCTAAGTCCATGGTGTTAGCTAACCTGTCGCCATCTGCTGGCTATCACTGTCTAGTGCATGACCTACCCAATCAACACAGCAGTACTGGCTAGAACTGATGAGGTGGAAATGTCTGTAAATCTCACTTTTGCATTTAATGTTCATTACACAGTTTTGAAGTAAATATTATTACCCGTATTTCAAGTGCTTGGAAACTGAGTCTCAGAGAGATTATGTGCTCATCCCATATCAGGCAGTTAATAAATGGCAGAGGTGATCTCTTCACATCCAAAGCTAGAGTACTTCCCAGCACACCACGCTGCCTCCCGAAGAAATAATAATGAGGGGACATTATCCACATGGTTCTGTACTTTCATCCACATTCAAACTATAAGAAAAAAACCCACCCCACCTCTTTGTATGGAGTGACCACAAGTGTGTGTCAGCTAACTGGCCACACTCTGACTCATTCTCGTGGCCATGCTCCCCACTTAGATCTCCATCCTGCTCAGACCACCTTGTCCTGTTCCCTGCAAAGCCAACTGGAGCAAGCCACCTCTGTCCCAGTGGGGTTTCCCCACCTCTGGCTGGCTGACTGGACTTCCCTGCGACTCCCCTCCTGACTCTCACAGCCCCTCCCTGGGGAGCCACGGGAGGAGGCAGTGCGGGTTTCTGATGGGGAAGGCTATTCCTGGGGCTGACATCATTGTCCTGGTTCGTGGGAGAGCACGGCTGCTAGCTCCACAGAGCCTTGGCAGCCGTCCAGTGTAACGAGGAGATCTGAAGCCGCACAGACCCCATTTGAACCCTGGCCCCTCCTTTTCCTAGCTCTGAGTTGGGTGCACGTTACTCATCCTAAAACGGTGATAATAGTTCGTACCTCACAGGGTCATTCTAAGGAGTGAATGAGGTTGTGCTAAATACTTAGCCCGGTGCCTGGCACTTAGCAAGTGCTCAATAAACGGTGGCCAAGATACAAGTGAAGGGCTGGTGCCAGATATACACCTTCCCCGAGGCTCCCTTGGTCAAGAGGGAGCATTAGCACCACGTGGAGGTGAAGCTTCCAGGGCCTGGAGTCAGACAGACATTCTCTTGGCTTTAGGCTCGGCCGCTTACTGGCTGTGAGATCGTTTTGTGAGCTTGGGTCTCCTCTCTGTGGACCCATAGACAAGTCATTAGTAAAGCTCAGAGCGCCACCTATTTCTAAGGCTTAAATACGTATTTCCAAATTGCCTCATAAGGACCCTTTGAAAACATTAAAAAGGTTAAAACGTAACATAACGGAGCTTTTAGTATGTAACATGCATAAGGACACCATGCCTAATGGACTCAGTAATGCCACTAAATGGAAGTTTATGCTATTATTTACAGCTGTCTGTGCTTATATTTGAAAAGAGTAGCACAACACTTAATCATTTTATAGACAATGTATGGGTTTCATGGGGACTTGCTAACCGTATGCATTAACCCTGCGGTCTGGTCCTGCCTGACATGTACAAGGCTTAGAACCTGGCCCCAGGAGCTTGGGCCGCTACATCACTCCCTGGCTCTAGGTCGCAGCTCTGGTTTCCTTAGGTGCTTGTGACATGGACTGGAGGTTGAGGGTCAGACTGGGGGTTGGACCTTCCAAATTCTATTAACCTTTAAAATCTCAGAGGCAGCCAGGGACTCAGGAAAGACCAAGACCCCTGGTTGCCAAAGGCCCCTTCTCTTAAAGGGATGAATGAAAGATTTTTTCCTTTCTCTCATCTCTGCCAGGGTTTATATCTCCCCTCTTCCCAGAGCAAAGAGAGTCCCATTAGATTTTCCTGCCTACAATTGTCTCCCAATTTGTACTAAGGGGTGGCTTGGTTCCAGACAGGAAAACCATAGCCTCAAACCTACAGAGGGTGAGAAATCTTTACGGCAGCAGCCTGTGTCGAAAAACAGGCAGTTATGACAGGCTGGATGGAGACCACCACTAGCTCAAATGACACTTTTGGGAGAACTAGAAAAAGGCCCCTTACACCAGACAGAGTCCAGTGGGTGCCCAGTTTGGTAAACAAACGCCTTTATCCATTATGGAAAAGTTGCCTCTCCCTCTGGGCGGAGGACTTCAGAAATGAGGTCGAGATGTATTACAGTCCCACTCATCCTGTCAGCAGACATAATTGTGTGGCTCACAACCTGTAAAACCATACGTGGCAGCCCTGGCTAGAGTGGATGAGGGGGAAGTATGCATGCCTTGATTTCTCATAACATCTTTTTAAGTTGTAGTGTCATGCTCATTTCATAGACATGGGAACTGGGGCTCAGAAAGGTGACATGACCTGTCAATACATGGCAAAGCCAGTCTCTTTAACTTGAAAAAACCTAGAACATTTTCATACACCCTCCCTGCAGAAAGTACCCTTCAAGAGTCACCATTTGCCCACTTCTGCCTCTTTCTTCATTCATTTCCTCAGGGCACAGAAACGCTAAGGACAAATGACCCAGCATCTTTGCATATGGTGTGTTCTGTCTTTTTCCTGTAAGTCCCAACCGGAGCAAGTGGGCCCTGTCCCAGAGGGACTTCCCCGTGTCTGGCTGGCTACCTGGCCTTCCTCCACATCTCCCCTCCCTTCCCTTAGCCAGGACCCATAGCCCCATCCTGAGAAGGGCTTCTGATGGGAGCAGCTATTCCTGGGGCTGTCATCACTGTCCTGGTTCGTGGGTGAACACAAATGCTAGCGCCACAGAGACCTGGGAGCAGTAACGAGGAAGCTTCTTTTGAAATCTTTCCTTGGAATCAGACTTAGCAGATTCTGTGTCAGCTTTTTTCTGTCTCTGTGGTCTTGTGCAATTTGCTCGAGCTCCCAGAGCCTCAGTTTCTGTACATGGGGATTACGAAGACCTACCTCCTAGAGACCTTGTGACAAATAAATGAGATCACAGATGTGACTCACTTGCCTAGAGCTGGCACAATAACAAGGGCTCACTAAATGGTAGAAAAAGTCCCTGGGAGCATGAGAGCCAGAAATGCCCCATTTCTGAAGGTGCCCTTCATCGAAAGGGAGCATCACCCTCATGTGACTGTGAAAAAACAGGATGTCCAGAGTCCAAAAATCTCCAATTGAATCCCAGCCTCGCCACAGGCCCTCCGCTATTATCACCTATGTCTCTGTTTGGAGGACAATTAACAAGACTTCAATCAAACCCACAGCCCTGAATACCTTTAGGCGTTTTGATTCATATTTTCAAAATCACCCCATGAGGACAATGTAATTATGTAAAAAATGTCAGGCAACCCACACGATGGTTGATTGTCCAGTTAACTCAGTGATTCTATTAAACTGTTTTGTAATTTATTGGGTACAATAGGTTCCACGTGTGTTTGAAAAACCAGCAGCCTGTACTATTTGACAACATGTGGTGTCTAGAAGGATTTACCAACCTTATGCATTAACTAATTCCCTGACAGATACACAGTCACTCTGGGAAGAAACATCACATTCTGAGCTCCTGCTGTTTGCCAGGCAGGTCCTGAGATTATTGCTTTTAAATCTCAGAGGTACAGTAGTAACAAATATCACTGTTATACAGATGAGGAAACTGAGGCATACAGCAGTGAAATGACTTTCTTGTGGCCACATAGATAATGAGGGAGAGCCCAGGTCTGCCTGTGAAGCATATTGAAAACATATTGAAAGGGCATATTGAAAGCCCTCTATTGTGGCCATTTGCATAAATTAGAATATATCCTATTCTCTTGTGTAAAGTATCCTATCATGCATGACATACATCTTTTAAAATTTAACATAAATTGTGGACATCTTTCCATGTCCACACAAATACATCTCATTCTTTTTGGATTATGTGATGACTAATGAATAAGTTTACTATAATTCATTTAACCAATTCCCTTTTGGTCGTCATTCTATTTGCGTGACATTTTTTGCTGTTGCCCAGGTTGCTGTAATGAACGTGATTTTATATTTTTGTCCATAGGTGGAAATGTTTCCTGTAGAATATATTTCTTAGGAGTGAAATGAAAAGGTCAAGGTTATGAACATTTGTTTTCATATTCTCTCCCTTTCCTCTCCTCTTCCTCCCTCCCTCTCTCTCTCCCTCCCTGCCCTCTCCTTCCTTCCTTCTTATACCTCCTCCCTCCCCCCATCTTCCTCATTGAGCAGAAGGACTTTCCCCTTTTCTATGGAATGAGAATTCACATCATGTCCAGCATCTTCTCTCTGCTCAGAGCTCTAAGCCTTGTGTGTGTTAAAAGGCGCTTCTGAAATTTCGAAAAATTTTTCTCTTTTAGCAGAGCCTGTTGTTGTCTAATTCAACAAAGCCTAATTTGAAACTCACTGCCGAGCCCTGGCCCCTTTATTCCAGGCTGATGTGCCCTCCCCACGAAGCAAGGGCTGCCATTAACTCAATGAGTTGTGGGCGGGCAATGGGCAGCCAGAAACTAGGAAGAATTGGGAACAAAAGATACATTGAATCAACATCTCGGAGTAATATCATCTCATTACATCATGTACATTGTGAAAGCATTCTTTAAACTGTAAAGTTCTATTCAGATTGTGAACTTTTTTGCAATAGTAGACATTTTATAAATTACATAATTTTTTTGCAATAGTAGACATTTTATAAATTACATAATTTGTTAAAGTGATAAAATGTAGATGCTACCTCGTAGGAAGGGCTCCGTTCATTCTTTGCTCCAGCCCCTTCCTAGTACCTGCTCCTGAGACTTAAGTTTTTTTTTTTTTTTTTTTTTATTTATTTATTTTTGCTGTGTTGCGTCTTCATTTCTGTGCCAGGGCTTTCCCTAGTTGTGGCGAGCGGGGCCCACTCTTCATTGCGGTGCGCGGGCCTCTCACTATCGTGGCCTCCCTTGTTGCGGAGCACAGGCTCCAGATACGCAGGCTCAGTAGTTGTGGCTCATGGGCCTAGTTGCTCCGCGGCATGTGGGATCATCCCAGACCAGGGCTCGGACCCGTGTTCCCTGCATTAGCAGGCAGATTCTCAACCACTGCGCCACCAGGGAAGCCCTAAGTTTTTGATGTATCTTCTCTGGCAGGCTACTGTGAGATCCGGTGCTGGAAAAACTGGAACTGCGGAGCCAGGAAATGGTGCACGCAGAAGGGCTGTAGGAAAGTCTGCCACGGCTCCTCCAGAGGAGGTAAGACCAGGAGCCCCGCCTGATTCCCCAGCCAGCTGTGCCAGGGTTAGCCCTGCCTGGCCTTTCCAAAACTGTGCTGCTGATCAGAAATGGGACAGAAACCCATCAGTGTTCCTGGGGGCTCTTCCTCCACTCTTGCCCTTACAGGGGGAAAACAGGTGAGAGAGCCATGTGCCCAGCATGTCATTAATCAATACCCCTTAAAAAGACCTTTAATCATTTCCCTTTTTTTTTTCTCCAAGTGAAGCTCATTATATAAAACTCAGAAACTACTGATGAGCCTATATATGTGTATATATGTATATACTATGATTATGGTATGATCATTATATATATATATATGGTATGCTTATATAATCATAATATTTTGACTGTCTAGAAAATAATGAACACTTCCGCAGCATTATACTTATTATCTGTATTTATATAAATATTAATGATATTTACTATTATTATATTTTTAACCCAGAAAAGCCATTCCATAAATACTTTTTTGTCACTTAAGTTTTGTTGGGAGCATCTTTCACTGTCAACACAATATATTTCATTTTACTTGATTTCACATATTTAATTATTAAATTTAATAAATTTAATTTACTGTATCCCACCATATAGAATATACTACATCACCTCAGTAAATCACCTTCTAGTGGACATTTCAGGTGGGATTTTGTTTTGTTATCTTGTTTACTGTTGCTATTCTAAGCAATACCTCAATGCTGGTTTTTCTCACTAGATTTTCTGTACCTCCTTATTATGCCTGAATGAAGAAACTGAGGTTTCTCGGGTTAAAGTGACTGTGAATTGCTTGTGGTTATAAAACCAGTGAGTGGCTAAGTCAAGATTGATGCCGGCTCCGTGCCTGGCAGACTGGGAGGTGCAGGGCAGGGCTCCGGAGCCTTCAAATCCCACCTCTGCAGCTCACCAAAGTGGGGTTTAGGGCAAGTTACTTAACCTCGAGTTCCCCTGCTGCAACATGGGTCAACACCTATTGCAGAGGGTATGGTGAGGACTAAATGTGCTAAAGTAGATCATGTATCTGGCCCTGACCCTAGCACATAATTTTTTTAAAAAATTAATGGTAGGGAAAAGAACGGAGTAACAGGAAATACTGTTAAGTAGGAGGCAACACCACATGGGCTTAGGACTTTATTTCAAAACGTTGCTCTGTGGACACTGGGGAAATGTATGTAATATTTTTAACCCCCAGTTTCCTCATCAGGGAAACCCAGAAAATGTTATCTCCGTTACTACATCGTGTGAGGATTAAATGAAATATATGAATGTATATAGTAGTGTCAGCCTTTTAAAAGAAAAAGGTAAGCAATTCAGCCAGCAAAATTGAGTTTATTCGAGAATAGCAGAGGAGTTGCAATTGGAGAAAGGAAAATGTGGCAAACCACCGGCAAGTCTGGAGAACAAAGGAGAGCGTGCTTTTACAGAGGACAGGAGGAAGTTGGGAGGGGTTGTTTCGTGCAGCAGTTCATTGGAGGAAAGTGAGAGTCTGAAGTGGTGGTAGCTTCTCATTGGCTGCAGGCGAGGGCGGCTCCTGGCCGGCAGCCAACAGGAAATCTTCCTCTTTCCTGCTGGAGGACGCAAGCTGCCATGAGTGGTACCTGCATGAGAGCCCTTCCTTCGTGGTTTCCTCGCTCCTATTTTGAGTTAGGTTTCCTTAACGCGTTTTTCACAGTATAAACATCTGGAGAAGCAGATGTGCTCAGAAAACCAGTGACTCATTGCATGGGGCCGCCCTGTGGCAGAACTCATGGGAGCTGGGACAAGCAAAAAGAATCTTAGCATCCACTCCTCCTCTGCCCTCTTTTCCTCCTAAACCTGGCTAATTTAATTCAGGTCACCCAGAAGAAAAAAATGAAATAAAAATCGGAAAAGGTGGGGCTTCCCTGGTGGCGCAGTGGTTGAGAGTCCACCTGCCAATGTAGGGGACACGGGTTCGTGCCCCGGTCCGGGAGGATCCCACATGCCGCGGAGCAGCTGGGCCCGTGAGCCGTGGCCGCTGAGCCTGCGCGTCTGGAGCCTGTGCTCCTCAACGGGAGAGGCCACAACAGTGAGAGGCCCACGTACCGCAAAAAAAAAAAAAAAAAGAAAGAAAATCGGAAAAGAACAGATGAGACTCTTAGCTTGGGCACATAGTTTGTTGGATATGATCAGCCTCTACTCTCAAATTATTTGTGTAAGAAACTCCACATTTCAAATGAGGAATCTATCCTGGAGAAGAAATAGATGCTACAGGAAGCCGGTGTTTGTGCACTGGCTCAACTGGCAGAGTTGTTGCAGAGATTATTTGTTCTTTTCTTCCTTTAACGTGAAAGCTCTGGAAATCTTACAGGAGATGAACTCATTCACGAAACAGTCCCACCAGACCAGAGAATAAGTGCATGCAGGGGTTATACCGTCCTCAAGACAGGAGCCAGGAGCTGGAAACCTAGGGCCTGAACTCTCCTCCCATCAGGTCTGGGGACCTCTGACCAGAGCCCCAACCCAAGGACTCCCAGCCAGACTCACTGGGGGTGAGCTGGTGCCTACATTAGCTTGGTTTCCCAAAGCCACAGGGATGTCAGTCTCACTGTTGATCAATGGTGTCAGTTTCCCTGCAGGCTGCTGGGATTTGACACTTCCTTCTCTTGCTCTCTGCTTCTGGGGCACACAGCAGGGTGGCCCCAGTCCCCATCCCCTGAAAAGGCTTTGGTTTCACATTCTCTTTAATTTGGCTCACTCTTTCAGGGCACCATCCCCCCACCCCGCAATCTTCCTCGCAACGTTTCTGCTCAATTCTCTGCACAGCTGGATAAGAAGAAAATTTGAGAAGTCCTCTAACAAGTTACACCCCCAATTGTTCCCCAAATTTGCCCTCAGGCAGTGCCCCAGACCAAACCTTTGCTCCCTCAGGCTGAATTTTTTCCTGCCCAATATGGTTTCTTTATATGTAAGTTGGTGATAATTAAGGTCTTGATACTGATACGTGACTCTAAAATCACAAGTAGCAAAATCAGTCAGGTCACTTAAAGAGGAGACATTCTTTTGAACCAAAAGGCCACTGGTTACAATGAGCACCTTGCAAGCACACCCTCAGCTTCACTGCCAAGGAAAGGACCAGGCTGTGCTTCTGCTGCAGTCAGGATGACAGAGGGACTTCATCCTGGATCCGGAGACTTTAATGGTTTCTTCACGTCACTCGGTTTCACAGTTTCAGTGACACAAGGTGGCTTTTGCTCAATGAGCCTTTGATCAATTACTCCTCTACCTTTCTAAGTGTGTGGTACCTTCATCCCTCTAATCCCAAGGAAGGGAAGAGGAGGCAATAGAGTTAGCCACGTGGTGGGCTTGAGCCACTGGAAACCCCTGGTGTTGGCTGCTGGCAGTGCATCTGTGATGGTGTCACAAACAGCAAGAGACCTCAGGAGGCACCAGGGTTTGGGAGGCTGAGAACCAGCACCATTTCCTTGGTGAGAGAGGCCTGAACTGGGAACCATGTAGGTAGAATGCCACCCTGTACACCTAGGAGAGGAAAGCCATCTTTGTAGGTGCAGTGGTGGTCAGCATGGAAAAGGTTACACCGGTCTGCAACAGATGCCTGGGAGGTCAGGGATGAGCATAGTTCCTCAAGTGTTTGTTTGTTTTAAATTACTTAATTAATTTGGCTGCGTTGTGTCTTCGTTGTGGCACACGGGATCTTTAGTTGTGGCATGCGGATCTTTAGTTGCGGCATGCAAACTCTTAGCTGTGGCATGAGGGATCTAGTTCCCTGAGCAGAGATCGAACCCAGGCCCCCTGCATTGGAAGCGCAGAGTCTTAACCACTGGACCACCAGGGAAGCCCTGTTCCTCAAGTGTTTATGGGCTGACCATTAACCTCCCCCGCCCCCCAAAAAAGTCATTGTGCCTCCCAAAAGACACATTGGACCCTCAGGCATATGAGGCCCCAGCAGAACCAATCCAAGAAGCCACGAGGGCATATGTGTCTGTTGGGGAATCACAGAGAAGGTATTGATTCAATATGGACTTTGGGGCCAGGTCCTCCCGGGTTCCAACCCCAGAACCACCGCTCACAAGCCCCGACCGTGGGCGAGTCATTTATGTTCTCTGAGTTCCTAGTTCCTCATTTCTTAAATGGGAACGATACATAGCTCAACAACTCTTTCTTGTGTGTGCAACTGTCACACATAGGAATTGCTCTGTGAGTATGAAAATCCTTCTGTTTTTCTGCTCATCAACAGCTTTGGCCAAAAAGCTGAAGCTCATTTCTCTGAATTTTCTTTATTTTCTTAATGTATGTTCCTTTGTTTATTAAAGTTACACATTTCTTGCCAAAATTAAAATGTCATAGACTAAACAAAAAGGGCTAAATCTGCCTACAGTTCTATCCCCTTTGAATAATCACCATTGATTGTTGGGTAAACATTATTTCAATGTCCTCTATGAATATGCTAATATATACTTATTTTTATATGTCCTGTTTCATTCTCCATTACACTGTGTGATATATGCCATGTATAAGTGGGTCCATTGCCTAATCTCCGCCATGTGTGTGGTAGCTTCCAGATACCCATACCTAAGGCTTCTTTGTGTTCACTGAGGCTTTTATTCTTTTTCTTTTTTCTTTAATTTTTTATTTTATATTGGAGTATAGGTGATTAACAATGTTGTGTTAGTTTCAGATGTACAGCAAAGTGATTCAGTTATACATATACATGTATCTATTCTTTTTCATATTCTTTTCCCATTTAGGTTTCTACATAATATTGAGCAGAGTTCCCTGTGCTATACAGTAGGTCCTTGTTGGTTTTCCTTTTTAAATATAGCAGTGTGTACATGTCAATCCCAAATTCCCTAACTATCCCTTCCCTCCACCCTTCCCCCACTGGTAACCATAAATTCATTCTCTAAGTCTGTGAGTCCATTTCTGTTTTGTAAATACGTTTATTTGTATCATTTCTTTTTAGATTCCACATAAAAGCAATATCATACGATATTTGTCTTTCTCTGTCTGACTTACTTCACTCAGTATGACAACCTTTATGTCCATCCATGTTGCTGCAAATGGCATTTCACTGTTTTTAATGGCTGAGTAATATTCCATTGTATATATGTGCCACATCTTCTTTATCCATTCCTCTGTCGATGGACGTTTAGGTTGCTTCCATGTCTTGGGTATTATAAACAGTGCTGCAATGAACACTGGGGTACATGTATCATTTCGGACCATGTTTTTCTCCCGATATATGCCCAGTAGTGGGATTGCTGGGTCGTGTGGTAGTTCTATTTTTAGTTTTTTGAGGAACCTCCACACTGTTCTCCACAGCAGCTGTACCAATTTACATTTCCACCAACTCACTGAGCCTTTTCTGATGTTAGAAATCTGTATGGAGCACTGCCGAGGAGACTGGGACTGTGGAGCTGGAGAACAATGTATCAAGAGGGGATGTAGTCGAGTCTGCTCTTCAGTCCAGGACCCAGGATATAAGAGCACACAGCCCTGCCCAGGTCCCCAAACCCTGCACAACACAGAGACTGTGTACTTAGCTCTGCCCAGACTTCCCTTCCTTAGACGGTAAATTTCCAGGGTCTCTGCTTTCAGGCTTGTCCTTCCAGAGGGAAAAGCATGTCACAGACCTGTGTGTCCTGACTTTTTGAGCACAGAAACTTCTTCTTTTATTTTGTTACACAACTAATAATGTTCATTGTAAAAAAAACTCAGAAATACTACTAATTAAAAAGATAAATTATCCAATGGATAATAATTATCCACTGGATAATTTATTATCCATAAATTATCCCATTACCCAGATAACCACGTTAACCTTTAAAATAAAAGCTTCCATGTTTCATACACACACAGATGTATTTTTTCAGCTTTAACAAGGAATAAATGTTTGTTTTGTGGTTACTGCATGTCTGGAACTGTGCTGAGTGCTGGGAGATAGTTAAGGAGAAGTCTTCGTCCTTAAAGATCTCATAGTAACAGAGATATAAACAAACAAACAAAAATCCAGGATATATGATTTTTACAAATATGGTGTTGCAGCCCATCCCTGATCAATAAACACAATTCTATCACACATTTTAAAAAGCTTCATTGTTTTCCAGTATGATATGCCTTCTTTCCATGCCTTCTTCTACTATTATAGAATTAGATAATTATCATTTTGAGTTACTTTTTAATAACAAGGACAAGATAAATGTCCTTGAGCTAAATCATATTTCTTAGCATAAATTCCTAAAAGTAGAATGGCCAAATTACATTTGAAAGCTTTTGATATAGATTGCTATATTGCCTCTTGAAGACACCTTTCAACACCAAAAAAGCTATAGCCTCACTCCACATATTTGTAATTTAACAGACAAACATCTACTCGCATTGTGTATGTATATATCTGTGTTATTGATGTGTTTGTACTTACATTTGTAAAAGCCAAGAGAAGATTCCAGAAGGAGCTACAGGAAATAGTAGATATCTCCTGGGAAATGGGCTGGTTGGGTTGAGGGAAAGAGAAACTTCCTTTTTACTTAATATAGTTGAGTATTTTTTGTTTTAAAAATAAAAACATACTACTTTTCATATAGTGCAAAATAGGTAGATAGCTTGTCTATATTTTTTGAATTGGATAAAAGGTTAAACAAACAAACCTTCTCACAGCCCTCCCCTGTTATCCTGTCAGGCTTAACAGTTTTCAGCTGAATTTTTTCTACGAGTAGATTGTGTGCAGGAATGCCGAGGACCCTGGGACTGCGCTGTAGGGAGCTGGTGTGTCAACAACGGATGTAGCCGTGTCTGCATACCCTTAGGAAACTCAGGTAAGCACTGCAAGCCCAGCTGTCCATGTCCCTGACTAACTGAATGCTTAGCCCTGCCAGGACAATGGCTCTTAGGCCAGCTGCACAGAGAGAGAGGAGGCGGCTATACTGGGGCCACTACTAACCTCTGGGAGAATTAGAAAAGAATAGAATTCTTCCAAGTCTAGAAGACCATGAAGACAGATTAATAATATCTTGCTTTAGAAGTATTTGTAAACTTGAAAAAGCTGGAAATACACTTAAAGCAGAAATGAAATAACGTTAAGGTACCAAATTATTCTTCAACAAGGTCTGGAAAGAACACGGTTATGAACAAGTTAGCTGATCTCTCACACCCAAACACACGTCCACACCGGTGTGAAACACACAGGTCCATTCATTCAGTCCACCAGCATGTACGTCTGCCCAGGCGGATTCTTGCCAGCCATGGCTGGCTGGTACTCTTTCCCCACAGAACCTTCAACTCCCTAGGATTGATCCTTCAAGCCTAGGATTGATCTTCGCTGCTGTAAGTTTGGTGGGTGCATCAAAGTGGCCTGGGAGTGACTTCCCTGGTGGTCCAGTGGTTAAGACTGCAAGCTTCCAGTGCAGGGGGCCCAGGTTCGATCCCTGGTTGGAGAACTAAGATCCCACTTGCTGCATGGCACAGCCAAAAAAACAAACAAAAACCAAAGTGGTCTGGGAACTAGGGAGGCTATAGAGTTAAGACTGGGTGTATCATCCAGGGAACAGCTCACTAACACACCTCTACATGGTCTCAGGATCAAGGACCACACTTAGATGTTTTGGGGTGGGGGGGAGACAGAGGTGTATGTAAGGAAATTCCACAGATGAAGGAGATCTCTGCCCAACATGGAATAGAGAATTGTCAACCACCATTTCACTTGATTCACAAGAGTGATGTCCAGCCTGCATTTTCCATGTTAGTCAGTCTACCCTAACTCAATAGGGTAGACTGTTTTGGGGGGTGATATACAGCAGGGGTTCTCCCATATCAACACACATAAGAATGACCTTGTGAGGGGTACTTCCTTGGTGGTCCAGTGGTTGAGAATCCATCTTGCAATGCAGGGGACACCGGTTCGATCCCTGGTCGGGGAACTAAGATCCCACATGTCACGGGGCAACTAAGCCTGCGCGCCACAACTACGGAGCCCACACACCACAGCTAGAGAGAAGCCCAGGCACCGCAACGAACGATCCCGTGTGCCGCAACTAAGACCCAATGCAGCCAAAAATAAATAAATAATAAATATATATTTTTAAATGAATGACCGGGGGAAGGCTTGTTAAATCCAGATTGTTGTGCCCCAACCCTAGAGTTTCTGTTTCAGTAGGTCTGGGGTGGGGCCCAAGAATCTGAATTTCTAACAAGCTCCCAGGGGATGCTGATTCTGCTGGGTCAGGGGACCCATTTTGAGTAGCACTAGATACTGGATTGGGGATCTTAGTTCCCTGACCAGGGATGGAACCCGGGTCACAGCAGTGAAAGCGCCACGTCCTAACCACTGGACCAGCAGGGAACTCCCTTTAAACAAAACAAAAACAAAAACAAAAAACTTGAAACCTGGTCTTTTGTCTTTTATCTACTATTTCTTTCCAAATGCAGTCATCAGAGCCCTATACTAGAAGTAAGGCTGGTGGTGGTGTTAGTACCCAGTCTGATTTTCACACTGTGGGACTCAGTGTTCATTGGCGCCTGAAGGCACATAGAATTGGTGAGAAGTTGTTTCTGTTTGTGATCTGGGATTTAATTATCTAGTTTCAGCTGGAACAAAAAGGAGGGGGTTACTGGCAAAGCTCTCTCCTCTTCTCCCAGGATGCTGCAGCTGCTGGTCATCAGTGTGTTTTCCCACACACAAAACAGTACTGTGTGCCTCCAAGGTTTAGAAGGGGGAAAGATTGGGGGCATCCAGAAGGGAAGAGGCTAAAGGTCCATCAGGGAGTGAGACACTTCAGCTCGCTCGCTCTCAGCACTGGGTCCCACTCCCTTCTACAGAGCCAGCCTGGGTTCTGGCAAGACTGTTTTGTTTTTCAGCTGAACAGAGACCTGGAACTTGTCCACAGCTGGCACCAGGAGTGATTGGAACTTGTGTTGAAATGTGCTCAGGGGATGAATCCTGTCCCCTGGGACAAAAATGCTGCAGCCATGGTTGTGGACACTCTTGTCAATCCGCTGTTCGAGCCGTGAGTATAAGATAGAGAGCTGCTTAAGGGGAGGATGAGTCCCTGCTGGCCTTTGCCAGCCCAGAAGGGACCCCGGCTGCCCCTCTGCTCACTGAAGTCTGGGTGACTTGTGGAGAAAGCTGGTTGGTAGCAAAGAGCAGGAATTTCTGGAAAGTGACATAATTACCTTTGTATTTTAGGAGGAGGACTTCACTATCCGTTTGGATGATAATTGAACCTTGGCCTCCTTCAGTAACTGTTCCCAAACGTCATCTTTATTCTAAGAGCTGTGCTTTCTTACCGACCCCAGGATCACAGGATGTGGATCTAAAATAACTTGGTTTAAGTGTTGAATTGTGGCAATTGAGGACTCATGGGGTGACTGCTTTCAAAATTATCTTTCTTCTTAATAAAATGATTTCTGTAGCATTATCAAACCTGAGTCATTATTTCTATGTAAGATTTCTAGTTCACTGACATTAGTACCTCTACCTCCAACAAGTATTTAACCCCAATCTATGGACCCTCTCTCTTTTTCATCATCCATCACCATTCATGTCCTCTGTTTCTTCCTCAGCCTTTTCCCTGAGACCAGCCCAGGCACTCAACACTGCCTGGAAATCTAACCACACTTCCCCCAGAAAATTCACTCTCCCAACAACCAAGATTTCCACTTATCTTTCTTCAGCTCCCCATCTCATCTACCTCTCACTCCAACTTCCACCATTCAGGTCTCACCGTCTATCTCATCTATCCTTCATTAGGAAAAGAACTGCACGTTTGCAAAAATGTCCTCCTCTTCTATCCCCATATATGTGTATCCATTTACTCTGCTTTATCCCCAGTAATAATGGGAAAAAAAATGCTCGCTACTCCTATTTAAGTCCAACCCCTCCACTTACATTCTTCTTTTCTAATGAAAGACTTCTCTAGTTATTATCTCCAGTACCGTAGATGTCTCCCTTACTACTGGATCCCCCCCTTGTCACACACCTATGCCTTGACTCCATATTTCAATCCAGCTACCATCCACTCCACAGCTGAAACTCCAGCTATCATTGTCTGTCTATATTTGCTTCTCTACTTCCTCATCACTGTTTCCATCCCCTATTCTCTCCTCCAAGGGCATGTCTCCCTCTTCCCTCTGATTGGCTCCAACCCCCATCTCACCTCACTCCAGGACTCCAACCAAGCTTCCTGTGGTCTACCACACACACTGAAACTTGGATAATGCCACTCACGTAGTCTGAACATCACCTACTCCTGGGACCCTCTGAGCAGGGCACAAGGAATGGAGAGCTAGCATGCCCCCCAAACGAATCATCTCAGGACTTAGTAAAGTAGCAGAGAGCCTATTGGGCCCCCAGTCTGGAGGATGATGCCCAAAGGAGTGACAACTAGATCGTGGTTCTTTTCTTGGTACCAAATGCTCCATAGAGGTTGTAAAGAATAGCCTCTTACTTTTAGGAGTTTCAAACCCAACCGAGAGTAAGGAAACATTTAAAGGAGAAGGAAAATATTTTATTTGATATATTTTTCAGTTTTAGATATTTGCCCTACATTATTTCCTTATCCTTACGACAGCCCTGAGTTGAGAATGCTGAGCCTCTAACTCTTGATGAAGAAACATAGGCTAATTGTCAAGGCCATGTGGCCAGGATGTAGTAGAACCTGCATTTAAATCCAGATTGTAGTGGCTTCCAAACTCTCTCTTTTTCTTATACTATACGACCTCCAAAAATAAAAATGCAGGATGCATATTTATCTGCAAATTTAATTCCAGCCAACCACTTTGAAAGCCGTCGTACTCCCCACCCTCCCACAGTGGGAAGCCCTCATAGTGTTGGGGCCTTAGGAATTGACACTGCAGGGTTTCCTAACACTTGGTTAGTGACTTGTTACAGGATCTGTGTTAACATTTGGGCGACCAAGCACTTGAAAGACCTGGATCAATTACACAGTCTCTGTGCCAAGCTAATTAGTCCCTAACAGAGAGGCTATGCATGCTGGGTCCTCCTGAAACTTTGAGAGGTAAAGAGGGAACCTCTAAGGTTGGGTTGTGAGAATAGCACCATCTCACCTGACCGTGGATTGCAATGTTCCTGGAGTCTAAAGTCTACATGAGATGCCTGGGGAAGCAGTGCTTTCTGGCTGGTACGTTTGGATCCGTGCAATGGAAAGTCACTGGTGGCCCAAAACTCTGTACTTATTTCCAGCTGGTCCAACTCCAAAATATTTGTCTACATTACCCTTTTTCTCCTCTTCACTGAACTTCACTTTCTCAATATCATGCTGAAATCCCAGGGCTCACAAATATTCCCTCTCCTATGCCAATAAAATGCACAATAGGGTCACCCCAAAGTCGTTGAGCCTCACAGCCTATAAGGAAGGAATGAAATCACATCTGAATTATAGCATAGGCTGGTACTTCTTAAATGCAAGAAGAATGTAGTATTCCATAACGGCTGCACTATCACCACTATTCAGGAAAAATAATAGTGACTTTAAGAAACTGGAATTCCCCCCCCCCCAAAATAGCCCTTCTCTTTAGCAGTGGAGTGTGTGTGCGTGTGTGTGTGTGTGTCGGATGGTCGGGGGGAGGTGCAGGGGGTGGTTAGGGGCAAGAGATTAAATGGATTTGTCAAGAGTTTTGTGACTAGGGAAGTTCCCTGGTGGCCTAGTGGTTAGGATTTGGTGCTTTCACTGCAGAGGCCCGGGTTTGATCCCTGGTCAGGGAACCATCCCACGTGCCACGTGGCCAAAATACGAAGAAAAAAAAAAAGAGAGAGAGAGAGTGATGTGACTAGAGTCCACATTGTATTAATTAGCTGCCGCAACCAATAAATCCCCAAATCTTACTGGCTTAACTCAGTTATGGTTTATTCCTCCCTGGTGTGGAATCCAAAATGGGTATTCTTGAACTGCAGGCAGATTTCCTCCAAGTGGTAATTTGGTAAACGGGCTCCTTCCATATTGTGGTTTCATCAACCTCAACATTTGGCTTCCAGGATCACTTGCCTAAGTGCTTCGGGCTAACAATAGGAAGAAGAGGATGGATGGCATGGGTTTGGGGTGGGGAGGGGAGTTAAGGGCTTTGCCCCAGAAGTGGGGCACATCACCTCCGCTCACAGTGCCTGGAATTCAGTCACATGGCCATGGCCAGCTGCAAGGAAAGCTGGGAGCTGTAATCTACTGTGTTCCTAGGAAGAAGAAATGAGTTTGGTAGAGTCATTTACCCAGTAAGTCTGACGCTCATGGGTTGAGTAGGCCTATCCTAGTGGTCAGATAGAGCCATCCTTGTAAAATAAAAGTTCTTCCAAACAGTTTTACAAAAGGAAAAATGAAAACTTATACAAAAAGCTGGATCCACATTTCTGAGAACCTGTAATAAAGGGAGGTCTGAGGACTCTGTACAAGGTAGAAGGAGGGAAAAAAGCTATGATACTCAGAAAAGGGGTTTTCCTTCCATCTGAACATGACAGGAGGCTTATTTACCCAAGGGAATTTCTACTTGTTAGCAGTTCAAGTAGTGTGACCCAGTGAGGAATTCTAGAGAGTTCCATGGAGGCTGGGGGAAGAAGACGAGAGGGTACCAGTGCCCATTCTTAGATCAAGCCTTGAGTCCTGTAATATTAATATTTGGGTCTAGAATATAGTGAGTGGGAATGTGTAACGAAAAGGCATAAACAGTGTGGGATGGATGAGAGAGCTTAGGATTTGGAGTCCGAAAGACTCGGGTAATTAAGAAGATGTGTGAACCTGGGGAAGTTATTATCTCCCCATGTATGAAATGGAGATAAACCCTGAGAGTATTTTTGATCTTTAAAAGGAGTGGA